GTGTTGCAGGCGTTGGGCTCCCCAGTCCCAGCAGCTCCATGATGCAGTCCTGCCCCTTGCACAGCTCAGCTCCTCCAGGAGCCACACATGAGGGGCTGCAGCAGTGGCATGGCTAGAAGCCGCAAAGCAGCAAAGGTCATTTGAAACACCGTACACTAACAGGCAGCAAAGTATACTGTTTGTGTTGCCTTTTTTCAGTGCAGCTTCTGTATTTAAATGCTCAAAATAAACGAAACTTGGTCACATCCGAGGGTAGCAGATCACCTTGTTACCTCCAGGCAATGCCAGAGCAGCAACCTGCAGAAGCAGAGGGTGACATGATGGAAGTCAGGTTCCTGCCCAGAAGGTGAGAGCTGGAGCAGCATTTGAACATTTGTGCACTTGTTTCAAATACAAGATTGGTCAAAGAGGCTCTATTTATTTTGTACACACATATTCTGATGGGGCAGTTCATGCAATGCAATTTCTGTCTTGACAGTCTGAGAGCATCAAACTCCAGAAGGTACACAGAGACATTGTATATGAGGCAGTCAGAATGGGCAGCAGAACCCACAGACACCCCCTTGTAGCAGGACTCAGGAGCCAGCAACAGAAAGCCTCACAGCAGAGCTGGGGCTGCCGGCAGGGCACGCACAGTGCCAGCAGGGGCCTCATCCCCCCACGAGCAAGGAACTGCACAGCCGGAGGCACGGGGCCAGACAGAGCCCATGGCTGAGCAGGTTGGAACCTCATTCTGCAAGCTCAGCAGCTAGTGTCCAACAACGTCCCGCCACGTGCTCCAAAAGGAATGCTGAGGCCTCGTTCCACCCCTAATTCTTTTCTCGAGATGGCAACTTGATCACGTATGCCCAGCTTGCAGGTCAAAGCAACTCAAGCAAAACCAAACCTGGAGCGGTGCAGGAAGTTGGGAGCTGCAGTCACAGCCTGCCCTGCCAGCAGGCCTGCACTGCTGCCCCTGGCACAGCCCCGGCAGCGCAGCATCCACCACCACGCTTTGCTCGCTGGCACTCACACAGCACAGCACTTCCTGCAGGTGAGACTCTCGAGGCAGTGGCATCCTGCCCTGACACACACTGTGATTAACTTCAGAGAGCTGCAGTGGCATTAAGGACCATCCAATTAGCGAGGCCTGCAAGAATATTCACACTGCTGCATCTCTTGGTTTCTGAAAGGGTTAAAGCTGATTATTAGCATATAATTTACAGGTCCTTTCTCCCAGGAAAGAAATAATGCACAGTAAATGCCACATTCATTTTAATAATACATGTTACAGTCTGTGCCCAACATCTGCACAAAGGTAAAGCAGACAGATTTTTTTGACGTGTCCCACTCTGCCATCCAAACACAGCCTTTTTGTTTCTTAAGTGACGGAAGGTTTAATCAAGAAAGCAGGCAATTCATCAATCGGAACAAGGCTGCTCGCACCGCCCTGACAGCACACACATGGTTCTGTACAGAAGAAACCTGGCCACCTGTCAGCAGCACCTCTTACATCAGGATATACAAATACACCAAGCGATCAATCCTCCAGCTCTTCCCATTCATTTCTTTGTTTTCTTACTATATTTTTCTTTATGCTAGATGTTGCCCTCATTCTCTGCAGGGATAGATGGGAGACAAGGCAAGCTATGACTGTTTATATACTATCATAAAAATTTATATACCCTTAAAGTGACTTATTTCCCTTCTATTTGAGTACCATTATTATAAATAATTTTTCACTTCATTCAGGAATTTTCCCTATGTGTTAACATCAGCAGCTGCCTGTGAGTGCTCCCTTCTCCCTCCATCCTTGTGGCTCCAGTAAGACAAAGCAGTATGCAGCCGGATGATGCCACAGCCTGAAATGAAGGCAGTATGTAGTCACATCTTAATTAAGCTGAAGGCCATGAAGAAAGTCTGTCCTGTGAAATACCAAGCAGTGCCTGCTGATAGGACTGCCTAGAGCAGCCTCGTTCTTCTTCCAGCTGCTGCCCATTGGAACATGCATATTACACCTGTCAGCCCTCAGCACTGTGCTCCTTGCAGCACCACAATCCCAGCAGCGTCAGGTCTATTGCAGCTCCTCCTGCAGCAGTTCTGTGTTGCACACTTGGAGGTGTGGGTCTCCCCTCAGCATCCTGCCAAGGGCAGGTTCATCATCTGTGGTGCAGCCAGGACATCCCCTGGCCACCCGTGATCAACTGCAGAGACTGGAAATGACACCAGGATGGCCAAAACTGTAATTACTGCTTTCAGGGCCATTATTTCCTCGACTCCAACTCTGCAACAGTAATCACATTATATGCACAGAGGAGTATAGGACGGTTCCAGTGGGGGTATGGCAATTTCTACCAACCCATATGTTGAGACACAGGGCAGGCTGCTCCCCTCACTCACCACAACAGGCTGAGTCCTCCCCAGTGTCACCTGCCGGGACAACGCTGAGCCCACAGCACAGACCTTCAGCTCCTCTGCAGCTCTCTCTAAATATCCCATCCCCTTCTTACCACAGTTCAGACCAAGGCGACACCAGAACTAGGAGATAAGAGGCTGCCCGTAATGGCTTTTGTTTCCTTCAGCCAGGAGCCTTCCATTTTGCCAGGAGCCAAGAGAGGGAGCCAGCAGCTCGGGTGCACGTCAGCAAGGCCTGCTCCCCACTGCTCCCCCCACCTCCCTGCACCGCCGGGTTCCCCCCCAGACCCTGGCCTGGGAGCACTCAGGGCAGCAGTGCGGAAGCGCTCCTAAATGTCCTGTTGCCATGGCACTGCAGTGAGACACCAACACTGCAGCACGGATAAAAGAGACTGGCTGAGAATTGCTCCTACACAACAGGAAACTTCTGAATGGTTTCCACCACACGCCTTGGGGTTGATCTGCCTCGGTTAGGTTTAAGTACGCAGAGGGAATTGTCCCAGCACCTCATCACAGCTGCTGACAAGGCTGCAGCGGTCCAGAGGTGCAAACGAAGATCCCTGCCAACACAAAGGATGTTTCGCATGACAAAAGCGTTTCTACAGAATTGTCCCCCAGCTGCAATAGCCATTACACCACGGTATGCACAACAACTCGGGTAACAACGTGCCTGGCAGAGAACGTGCAGTGTGGGGGAACACACCCTGCCATGCACTTTGAGTGAAATGTCTTTGTGCAAATGATGCCATGCCTAGTTTTGTAGGTCTGTTTCATGCTATGCCTATAACTATCCTGTAAGACATTCCAGATAGTCGCAGAACGGGTTGTTTTTCCAGGCTGCTCATGCTGCAAGCAGAGGCAGTCCCAGAGGCAGTCATGCCCAGCAACTCTCAAGCGGAAGTGCTGCTTCCACCAGTGCTTTTGATGCCGCATCAGAAGAGAAAACACAGCTCTGCCATCCTCTGTGCAGGATGGCCTCGTGAGCATGAGAACAGAGCATGCTTCCCCTTACATTTCTAAACCTATTAGGGCAGGAAGGTAACAAGAAAAACGAGTACTGACAAGAATTATGCCACTGTTATATTCTGTCTATTTAGGAACCTGAAGCTGCAGTTTCAGTCAGAGATTACCTCTTAAATAACCCTTTGATTATGGTACATGAATTAATGCCATGTTCCCATGTAAGAAGTGCCACTCACTATTAATGGAAAGGACCTGTGAATGGAACATTTTTGCCACCATCTTCTATGATCCTGCACAAGCAGCACTTACTGTACAGCCCACCAAATCCACTGCTGCTGCTTCTGGGTTTCCAAGCTGTCCTGAGAATCCATTCCAGCCAGGTAAATGGAGCTCACTTTCATTAGATTTTGACAGTCAGGTCTAAAGCAAGTATTCTTCTCCTCTTGCAAAAATGTTGTAACAAAGAGAAAACTGCTACCAAGTGTGTTTCTACTATGGCTATAACAATATTTGTTCAGGTGTAACAGTGCTCAAAAATAATTAATTTTAAATAAAAATCTCCCACACTGCTTAGCTGAACTAGATTAAAAGACAGCCCCATAAGAGGACAGGCAGGTGAAATGTACTCCTGTGCACGTAACACTCTTCTTTAGTCTGCAGAACCCAAAGTCCTTTTGCTGTGCTTTGTGAATAGCTTCCAGAGTGCAGAGCTCTCAGCACTTGCAGGAGTGAGAGACTCTGAAGTACAGCTCTCTACAGTATCCCTGCCTCTTTGTGCTGGGCCCCAGAAGCACGCTGCAGTCCTCAGCATTCTCATCTTCCAAGGAATCACCACTTCAAGGCAGAACCTTTTCAGAAGAGCAGAGCTGTCAGGGACAGCTCAACGGGGACCTCAGTTCCAAAACAAAGCCACCATGTGGTCCTAAAGCACAGTAAAAAATTACCTATACCTACATAGGCAGAGGTTTGGGCTTGAGCCTCAGCACGCTATTTGAACACACATCTCCCCTACAGACTATGTAAAAATAAAAACCAGCAAAAATATTCTTAGGCAGTTCCACATCAGCATCTGGAAGCTATCACCATCTCCAGCATTAGCATACCAGCCTGGATTAGCAAATGGAGAGCAGAACAACCTGTATTCTAATTTCTTTCTAACTTCACCTCCACATCTGATTTCAAATTTGCCCTAACATCACTTGTTTTTTGTAAGTACATTGCACATAGCAAAGAACTGCGTGTATGAAAACTCCTCTTTGCAATGCAGGATGAGCCTCCCAGGACATGAGCTGAGATGTCTGACACAACTCACCAGTGAAGGTCATCAAAAAGCTGAGAAGCAAAGTTTGTGCCAGCGCTGCTTTCACCAGAGTTCTCACCTGGAGTCACTGTGGGCAGCTGCATCCCTCGCTGACGGCTGCCATCTCCTCAGTCAGTAACACTCACTACTAACAACACTCCTGCCCAGGTGTTTTGTGGTCCCTCTGCATTCCTGGTGCTCAGTGCTTCAATGGCACCTGCACAGATCTGGGGTGCATTTCAGAGACACCGCCCACCTGCCATTCATGCAAACAAGTCTGCTTTAACTTGGTTAACCTTCTGGTTACTGAGAAGCAGAGAAACCATGGCGTGCGCCAGCTTACCTGATATGGCATACAGGTTTGAGTGCTGGTGCTCCAAGTCCAGGCGGCTGTGACTTTTGCCTCGAAAGCTAGCAGGAAGTGTCAGTGAGATATGCCTGAAGAAGAGAAAGGGAGACAAAGTTACTGCAGAGCAGAAGATGCCCCCATTGGCCGAGGTGGCTCCCGAGGAGCCCCAGGTGGGCTGCCTGCTCCCTGTCCCTCCGCAGAGCAGCCAAATGCTACCCATCACCCTTGCTGCAGGCAGCAGTGAGCGTGCCCTGCAACTCAAACTTGTATTTTTCTAACACTGATCTCAGGTCCGCGTGAACTTTTGTAAAACATTATCATTCATCGTCTGGATCACATCGCCACGTGCAATGACAACACTCGTAGCAGGGCTCAGTCTGGAACAAGTGCAAAGGCAGTGGCCATCACCTCACCCAGCAGAGCTGCCCACCTGCAGGTGCCCAGCACTGCCCACTGCCAGGGAACCCGGCGCTCTGCGCTGCAGCTGCAGGAGCCCTGGATATTATCCAGGAGGAATCAGACCCATGCTCTCAGCAGCGGGTTTTATTTTTTGAGCAAATCATCTGGAAACTGTCTGCCTTATTAAGAAGCCAGATTTTGTGAAGAACCACATATTTTCAGATCTTGATGTGGCTGATGGTGAACAGCGTGGATAAAATAAGAAAAAGCAAAAATCAGTTTGAATTTGCTGTTCTTCCCAGAGCTATTTCTAACAAGAAAGGTGGTGTGAAAATAATTTCAAATTTAGCAAACAGTATTCTGTTAAAACAGAATCCGTACGGGGCTCTGCCAGCAGAGACAGTTTGTCACAGACGTGCTATAAACCACAAGAGTGCTGCCTGCGGGCGCTGCAGGCTCCTCATCTGTTCGGGTTTTTTGTTCGTTTTGTTTTTCTTTTAATAACAGCATCCAAAAACACTTTCTGAGGCATCAGAACAGCCAATAGAAAGATCTTCTGAAATTCTCTTGCTGGTACCGAGGATGAATTTCGTCATACCTGAACAAAGCAGTAGCAAACACTCCGCACGTAGCAGAGCAGATCTATTTGGAAAAGGTCAATTTCTAAGCAGAGTATTTTAGAAGTTCATCCAGCACCTGCTGCAAGAGGCTCCTCCCTCCTGTATGTGCAGTTCCTGCTGGCCAACCAGCACCAGGCGCCCAGCCCAGCACTGCTGCCGGCCCAGAGCCACAACCATGCGAGCGCTGTGTGGGTGCTCAGCCTGCAGCGCTCTGCTCGGCAGCACTGCGGTGTTTCGTCGCCTCTCCCTGGCTGTGCTGTGTGGGGCCATGGCCGAGAGACAGAGGTAAGGACTGCTGCAATGACATCGGTTCTCTCCCTCTCCTCCTCTTCTTTAAAGGCATGACATTGTAGGGAAAAAATGGGAAACAAAACCTAATCTATTTTAAATTAATGCAAACTTTGGCCAAGATCGATATAACTTCTACCAGTAAGTTGACTGCATAACGCATTTTCCTTATGCATTGTGAAAGCCAAATCATTTTGCATTGTAGAAGACAAAAAAAAAAAAAAAAAAAAAAAAAAGAGGAAAAAGAGAGGCTGCCTTCGAAAAGCAAGAAAATCCCAATTACAGAGTCCCCAAGTTCCTAAACACATATCGTGAAAGTATGTGCAGCTCTGCGGCATATGGCAAATCAATTACTAGTTTAAATTTTAAAACAAAAACATGGTAAATGCGTTGCAGAAATAATCAAGAACAACGGTTTGGTTTAGATTACAGCGGCCACTAGAGTTTTGAATACAATTAATCATCATTCCAGGCAATGGGAAGCCATATTGACACTTATTCCTAATTTGAATATTTAATTAGGGTGAAGTTCTTCATCAAATTACACAGAACTGGGAGGAAAGCCTGAAAGATTTAAACAATTACTGCTTTAACCCCTCACCAGCTGCTCACCTACAAGCACAAAAGCATCTCCCCAACGCTGCAGAGCTGAACGCGCTCATGCCACGCGGGGCAGAGCCCACGGCACCATGGCTGCCCCTGTGTTCCCTGCTCCTTTGTCAGAGCAAACGTTCCTCAGATCTCCATCTCAGCACCAAGGGATGCTCCCAGGCAGTTTCTTGGAGCCAACGGAAGGCTGTGCCCAGAGCCCCCTGCAGGGCCGTGCGCTGCGAGGTGCCCAGGATGCTCCCGGCCCCGGCTCCCTCCTGCCTCCCACACCGGCCCTTCACGTGCTGTGTGTGTCCATATAAGAAAAGCCCTGTTAGTGAGAAGCAACATAATATGAACTCTCTAGAGCCATAATTAGAGCAAACTAATTGAAGTTGTGTTTTGACACACTTTCCAAATTCACGGGTGCTGCATGACATATTCACAACACTGCTGCTGCACAGCCACGGTGACAGCAAAATCATTAGGCTAATAACGCTTATTTGCATTCTTATCATGCCAGCAGCACCGTTAAATACTGCTTCGCCAGTGCTCGCTCACTGAGAAAGTTTCCACTGAAAGATATTAACAGTAATTATGAGTACTTCAGTGGAATCTCTAATGTCAAGGAACAGCAACTCACGTGAATTATCCTAGTGCCAATTATTTTTCGTTTTGGACTACCAAAAAAGTGATTTCTGCCCTCCCCTTGCACAAAAGCAGGGGGTGCGGAGGAGGAGAGGAGGGCAGGCAGTGCCCACTGCAGGAACGCACACTGCTCCTGCACAGGTCAAGAGAGGGATTAAAAATACGAGTTATATACTATGCATAATTTCCAGGTGACTTAGAAAGAAACAGCCACACCACCACAATTCAGACCGGGTTAGATTTAACTGCTCTCTTCCTTTTAGTCTTTCTTTTATTTTTTAAACCAACAGAAAGCATCTACATGCAGCAGCACCAGAAGCAGCACATGATGAGAGGCTCTTTGGATGCAAGCAAAAAAGGTCTGAGGTCTGCATACATCATGGCCCTTTTTTAATGTTTCTAGAGAGAAACACATAAAACAGGTCCAGGAATGGCCAACAGCTCCAAACCAGCAATCAGGGACTGTCTGCGCGAAGGTGATAAACTGCTTTTGAAGTTAGGGAGAAAGTACTCATAAAAAGTAACAAAAGAGCATAAGGGGAAATTCCAGATATCAAAGGATGCTCCATAATTCATATAAAAATATCAACAACACGTAGCAGAGGAACAATGGCAGGCGTTTGGTCTCCAACTGGACGAGATGAAGGCAGCAGAGATCAGGCAGCGGCTCGGAAGCCACCCCACATCGGCAGCCCCAGACCCGGGTGCCCCTCTCTCAGCAGTGCCTTCTGGGCGAACCTGAGAACGGCACTGCAGGTACTGCAAAGCCCCACAGGAACAGCCCAAAATTAACAGCTTATCTTCCCTAATGGATGGATTATGCAAAGATCGTGAAAAATCGAGGACAGAAAGATTAAGAACATTCAAACCTGAAGACAAAAACACACCTACAAGGAATCAGTCGGGCTGTACTTCTCAAGAAACACAAATCCCATTCGAAAGCCTTGCCTGTGGGTAGAGGAAAAGCCTGCTTCTAAGCAACGCCCTGTGGGTGCTTCACTGCGGGATTGGAGGCCATCTGCACCACTGCTCACTTGACCAGAATGGATTTTCCAAACTGTGGCTTGCAAAAAGCACCACAACAGACACCTATGGCTCTGGCGGCGTCCAGAACCCCATCTACAGCATTTCTTCACAGCCCTTAACTTTTACGGTGCTCAGGCCTTGCACTGCCAGAACACCTACCTCATACCCCAAAGAACTGCAGTGAAAAACAAAACTGCGCGGCAGGAACCACCTCGGGTAATGGACTCCATTCCAGACAATCTATTCTAATCGTGTAAACCAAATATTTAAATACTTTCTAAAACCTTGCTGACCCTTTGCCTAAAACAAGCACCATATGGGCTTTGCAAGCATTTCATCTCATTCCAAGCTACTAAAATATCCTGTTTCCCAAAAATCAATGAGAACTGGTGGAGCCAGATTAAAATTTTATAAAAGCCCAAACGCGTGAGAGAATGAAGAAGGGAGTGAGCGATTCTTTCCACTTTCACACTCAACCACTTCATCTTCTCAGCAGCGAGGAGGAAGCCCGTCCTGCACCCTGCCCAAGGCAGCACGCTGCGTGGGACTGCAGGGCTTGGCGTCCCATGCCACAACCACAGCCCTGGGGCTGCATGGAGCCACAGACCGGCAGCCAGGACGCACGGCTCGACGTGAATGAAGCTGCTGCAACTCCTCAGTGCAGAGATTAACTTAGTTCAGAGACTATAAGCAACCAAGATGGAACAGCTGCCAAATAGAAAAAGACCAACAAGTTTAATTTATGCTGCTTGAAAGTCTGACCTGTAGCCCATTAAACTGTTACGGGCAGAGGACGGCACCGAGCTCTCAGCCTTCCGGCTGCAGCTCATGCAGTGGCGCTCCGGGTGGAGCAGCACAGCCTTCTGCAGCCCGCACCGCGCTCCCAGGGCCATGAACTCTTCGGTAATGAAGCAGTAGGGTAGAATTGCAGAGCAGCAGAAATCATCCAAAAAGATACATTATGTGCAGCACAGGTTTTCCAGGCTAGCACTTTAAATTCCACCAAATCAATCAGAGCGGAGCCCGGGACGGCGCCAAGCCAAGTCCCACACTGCCCCGCACCACCAGCACACGGCCCCGCACCGTGCCCAGCAAATACCCCTGTAAAGACTCATCTGGGAAGAGCACATCGTCAGCACTTGGCCAGTAATAAATAATGACAGTCCAAACACTTTACTAAAAGCAATAAACTCGAAACGTGTTTTTGAAAATGGTGAAAGTGATTGATTTAAAGAAGGAAATATCTGAACACAACCCCACGCACTTCGGGGTGAAAGCACAGATTACAAATCAACAGTGGCAGAGATCATATTAAATAGGAAACAACATACAAGTTTTAGGGGAAAAAATGCTCAAATTCCCCCACTGGGCTTATTTAACAACTGAGAACACAGCTTCTGTGAATGAATACCTTTGGTTCATATTTAATGACCCGATGCTACACCCTGAAGAAAACATGCCTTTAGGAATATTACTACACCAGGAGCAGAGCTCTATAAAGAAAAATGATTCTAAGGATATTGAAGCCTCTTCACACAGAGCACTCCCCACAATTTTTCAATGCATCCTCAAAATCAGCTAAATCATACTTCTCACAACTGCAGAAAATGTCCTTCTTTCTCAAGTGCTGCAAGGGAATCTTGTGCCTGGAAACCACTCATACTGTTTAAACATTTTTTCCTAATCATCGTTTTCTGCCACTAAAACATACTGGACTGCAACCAATTTTTGCACGTCTTCATCCAGCTGAGTTGGATGCAAGCCATACAGTCAGGGTAGCTTCATAGCAAATTCCTTATGGGAAGCAGACTCTGGATCAATGTATGCCAGTGCTGCTCACCCAGTTAAACAGGGTACCGGGTCCAGGCTCGCACAGCATACACACACCACACAACTTCTGCCTTCACGTTTGCTTCTCACTGCTGCTACGGCAGCAGGTCTGTGGCAGACACTTCCTCCAAGGTTCAACTGAACACCTGCCTCATTGCTTTTTATCCGCAGCCTGCGATGCCACCCTTGGTCTGTAACAGGGTAAATAATTTAAAAACAAGAATATTTCATGATTTAAGTGATCTGAGCATTCAAATCAAATAATATATTTTATTAACTGCAAATTAGTTTCAAAAGAGCTCTAGAGTAGAACTTATCAGAAAAATGCATCTCCACCCAGAAAGAAAGACTTTGTAGAGGACTGGACTGACAGAGCTCTCTCAGGCAGGTTTCTGAGTGGCTTCCAGTCAAATCAAAGCCATCTACCTCTGTGTGCGGCAGTGTTTCATTCAGATGAGGGATTGAGGCAGACTCCGGCTACCAGGCTGCCAGTGGGGGCAGTCCTTGCTCAATGGCAGCTTCCTGAAGTCCTGGCTGTGCTCCTCACTGGAACAGGCAAGCGCTGAAACCTCAGAACTTTCTCCTCTACAGAGTCTCCAAGAAAACTGCTCTAAATGTCTTCAAGAAAAAATTAACGCTGTTACTTCTAAATATTATTGTTGCTACTTACAAACCAGGGAAAGCAGAGGCTTCCTTGCCTGCAGTTCCCCTGCTGCACAGAGTGGGGCTGGCGTGCCACTGAGGCAGGGCACACGGCTGCTTTATTAGCTGCTGCCTCTTGCACATCATCATCCTGCAGCAGGCAGCCACACACTGATCGCTTTCCAAGCCCCCAGGACAAAGTTCAAACACCATTAATAAATCAACCTGAAAACCTGACTCCTCTGCTTGGCGATGGAGACTCTGGGCTCTAGCAGCAGCAGCAGCCCAGCCCCTCGCTGTGGGCTCACCCTGCAGGCTAGGAGCAGCCCAGGCCCCGCCATGGCCACACTGCACGATGCCTCTTCCTCCTCCCAGCTGCAGCTCACAGCCCCACACGGCTCTCGGGGTCAGTGACAATCGACATTTTCAAAGCCTGACATCAACAAGTAAAAGTTGTGACTGAACCCCAGACTCTCCAAGAGGAAGATTGAACGCCTGTGACACATCATCCACAATCAGAGCGCTTCATTTCCCAAAGTATTTGTCACAGATTGATAACATCCACACACGAAGTTAAGTGCAATTATGTCTGTCACTGCAAAGCACCCTTCAGCAGCGCTGACTGACATCTGCTCGCAGCTGACAAACGGCCGCAGCCCGGCGGTGGTGGTGGTGCTCAGCAGCTCCCGAAGGGCCGCACACAGCGCAGGAGCTGCAGCTGCCACGGGAGTCATGGGGCAAAGCAAGCGAAGGTCAGCGCCGGGCTCGCAGGAGCTGATCCAGCTGCAAGTGGACTGGAGAAGAAGGGGACATTGCACAGCAGCCCCTGCCAGCCCAGGCAGAGCCTGAGCCAGAGACGATCTGAGCCCTGAGACACTGCTTACATGCTGCTGATGTGTATTCCTGCAGGGCCCGACACGCACACTGCAGTCACTGACTTGCAGGCTGGATGAAACAGAAGCATGCCAAAGGCCAGGTGAATGGCCTGTTACTGGCACCTCTCCTGTGGGAGCACTATCCACTGTACCAAAAACGCAGTCACATGCAGAACTGGCATTATTAGTACTGGAGGCCGCATGCATCACAGTGCGAGGAACTGCGGGTACTCGCACTGAGTGCTCACTGGTGACTTAGGTCAACAAGAATGGCTCTTTAGTAGCAGCTTCCCAGGACAGGAGTCTGCAAAGGCATTTCTCCAGGCTGACATTAATGCCAAGGCCTGTCACAGGATTTGGACAGAAAAAGCAGTAAAGGTAGCTTGAAGCCTTAAAGAACAGCACAGTGTGCCATCCTTGCTGGGATGTGCTGCTGCAGCCATTAGAGACCAGTAAGACAGATGCCTGCAGTATGGAACACCAAGAAGTGGCCAGAAAATAACACATGCAGTCCAGTAAGAATATCAAACAAAGCCTCCCCTTGTGCAGCTCTGATGTGAGCCATAACCCGTCGGCACAGAAAGGAAGCAATGTTCTGCCAAGTAGCAAGCTGCAGAGGTCAAACTTCTGACACAGAACAAAGCTCTGATGAGCCTCCACTGATGGCAATCAGTAACCTGCATCAAGGACCAGCGAGCAAACACTGTTAGTATAAAAACTAAAACCTCCCGCTGTAAGGAGCTCTCCTCAGCAGACATGTTTGCTGTGTAGAAGCTCAGTGCTGTGCTTTTCATGTTTGGTTTATACACGTTTAGTTTATACTCAGAGTTAACAATTGCTCAGAAAGACTCAAGCACAACATTTTGATTTAAAGCTGTTTTACAAAGCTAGCCAGCAACTGAAGAGAACAGCACAAATACCTGACCAGCCTAAGAGCCGGATCTCCACAGAGCTCCATTCTGCACTGCTCACCACTTTGATCTCAGCACTCACAGTAGCAGAGCAACTCACTGCTGCTCCTGTCAGCATTCATCCACACAGAATAAAATGGCAAACTGGCTACAGCCATAATCGCATCTCTCTATGGTGATGTAAAAATAAGAGGTTACTTGTGACTACAGTCTTCCACAAACATTAAACTTGAGTAACTTACTACATTGCTGATATAGTATTAGAAAAGGCTTCTCGAGTAGCATACATATCCCATAATAATGAAATATTTCCAGGGTGCACCCTTATATATATTTCTATTTCTTAAAAAATATATTGAATAATAAATAATCAGAGTAAAAAACAGACATGAAAGATGCTTTGAATGATCAGGCTGGTGGTGTAAAAGTTATCTCTAAATCACATGGTGGGCATGGGAGCAGAGCTGGCAACAGACAGGTGGTTTTTACTAGGAGGCATTAATGTAACATTCAATTATTCCACTGCATACTGGCTGTTTTAACTCAGCCAAATTAGAATACATTTTATATTGACTATTTTGACATTTGCTTTATTTGGCAAGTAAAACAAAACCGATCCAATTTCCTTGCAGCCATTGTAAACCATAAACTGTACAACAAGAGGTTATAAAATATATAAGCCTTGTAAACACTTCTTTTCAGACTGTTGCTGATGCTCTGAGTCTAATTTTGGCCCTGTTCCCAATAGCTCTGAAGCTGTTCTGCAGCCTTCCCTGTTCGGCTATAAAGTGACCCTTCCACACTTAGTGATTAAGGACTGCCATTGACATTCTCTCTCTATGATAATTTTTCTCTTTATTGTGGAAATTTGCCCAGGCAGGAATTTTCTGCAGACAGAAAATGAAGAGCTGTGCTCAAAAATCAGAACATCTCTCCTGATCATGCAAGGCCCTCACCAGCACATAGCTCACGACCAGTGGTGTTTCAAAACAATGCAGTAACTCCTGGTAAGACAGGCAAACGTTTCCAGAAGCCTGACGACTCTTCACCTCTTCTGCCTCCATTTCTGTTCAAGAAACACGGAAGCACCTCTGCTTGCACAGCACCTGGCAAGGAAGACAGCAAGCAGGGGGCCGAGGCACAGCACTGAGCAAACCTCTTGGTGAAAAAAGGCGCCCAAACTCTTTGGAGAAGTCAGAGGTACCATAAGACAGCAGATTTAAGTCTGGGGTGCAGGTGAGGGCTCTCATATACACATTTGCTTTATAAATATACTCAGTAGGTTTTTCAGGGACAGTTCAAAGCAATTTAAAAGCATCACTCTCTGTAATGACTGTGACCTTTGTATACAACTTCACTGGAATTACTCTTTGTTGACTCCTTTGATGTTTCAGCTTTCAACAGTTACCGTCACACTGTAAACATGCTTGCAGTACACCAAATCCTAATGCAAAAATATGTATTTTGCTCTACTAAGCAAAAAACGAAGGGATCTGTAGAAAACATGCTGACCCCTGGCAATGGCTGGGGCAGCAGTTCAGTGTGACCAGACTCACCAGTAAAAGCCTATCTTACATGGCGGTGCTTTCGCATCAAATCTAGGAGTGTAAATTGCTCAGTTTAACATCTGTCTAGGTTGGTTTGTTGCTTAACAACACTCTTCTCCAGAGAAATGCAGCAAGTAAGCTGTCATTATGGGACTACTATTATACCTTAAGAATACTTGTGCATACATCAGTACACACACAGATACCATACAACAGGGCAAACAACCTGGACAGACACCATGCCAGTGCCTGCCCAACACTGCTGCTCTTGTCGTTCACTGCAAAGTGAACAATCTGCTCTGCATACACAATGCCAACTGAAAACCCGAAGCAGTGGGATGGGTCCAAGAAACAGCAAAAAAAGCACTATATAGCATGAGTGGACTGATTTTGAAGAACGAGCAGAACTTGTCTCCCTACCCATTACAGATCGTATGCATACTTCTCCTCTTTCGTCAAGGAGACAAATCAGCTTGACTACAGTTCTGGCCCACCCTCCAGGGTAACTCACATGTAGACTGAAACTACAAAACATACCACACAGTTATTCCTACTGAGGCAGTGCCCCTGGTCTTGATTCCACCATGCCACACTGCACAAAGCAGAAAGAGCTGGAAAGCAGAAAACTCACCTTGGCAGGTTGGGAGCTGGTGCTGGAGATGGAGCTTGGGAAGGAGCAGCAGGCTGTGAAGATTCATGGTTGCGGGGAACTCTGCCCATCCGATACCAAATGCCCATGTTGTTCAACTCCCTGGGTCAGCACAGAAGATATTAATGCCACATATGCGCACAACTATCAATAGGTAAATTTCATAAACAGCTCTGCCAAGTTCTTACCAAGAACTAGTTTTATTGAAAAAATAACAGCAAAATCATAGAATCACCAAGGCTAGAAAAGACCTACAAGATCATCCAGTCTAACCACCCACCTGCCACCAATAGTACTCACCAAATCATGTCCTTCAATACAACGTCTAAATGTTCCTCCAGGTTCAGTGACTCCAGGTTTACTAGTTTCCACATCACAATCAGTAACACTTGTAATCACACAGACCTTTCCAGTTCTTACAAACACCCACTAGTTAATTACAGGAAGACAAGGCACTCAGCCTTGCTACATCTGAAAATACGGGCTTCAGGAGTAGTGCTACTTACCCTATGAACGTGTACTGAGGAGGGGCTTGCTTTGATCTCCCCAGGATTCGGATATCACAGATGGCTGCCTCTGTAGAATCTCGAGGGATAAATTTAATGCACAGCCTCTTCTTTCTGAAAGCTATTTCTTCTGCAAAAACAATCCAGAACAGAGGTGTTCGGTTTTTTTGTTTTTTTTTTAAATGCAAGATCGGGATATAAATGTTATTTATTGTCTCTCCAGATATTAGGCAGATAATCACGGCAGGAAATGGAGCCAAAAAACAGATACATGTCAGCACACCAGTCAGTACAGTGTCATCTGATGACTAAGGAAATCTTCTATCAGAAACTCTCAGTATACGATGTGAGATTTGTTACTGGGCACTGTGATAAACCAACACTTCCTACTTCCCTCTGCAGAGAAGACAAGACATCACACATAGGATAGCACTGCACCCACAAAAGAAGTGGCAAGTGGTTTTTATACTTTCCTGTACTAAGCCCAGGCTAGATGGGACTCCAGGCACTCTGATCCACTGGGTGGGAACCAGCTCATGGCAGGGGTTTGGAACTGGGTGATCTTTATGGTCCTTTCCAACCAAAGCCGTTCTGTGATATAATTCTCACATTCAGTTCCTCTTTCTGAGGTAGCATTTGACTCAGCAGGTTCGGTATCTGCTGAAGCAACCAGGCAGTTTGTTCTGTCAAGTGCTTCCAGACAGCCAATCAAACTGCACTGAGGAGGAGCGGGAAACATGCTGCCATGTAGAGTAGCTAGTAAAAAACCTCACCTATCCAACTCTCACACATTTCAAGTGCTAACAACCTGTCCTGACTGTCAGTTATACTCCCACTGCAAATGCTGTGGCATCTTTGTAGGGTTAAAATCAGATTTACAAAGCAGTAACTGCTGGGGCCCCAACAGGAGAACTGGGCTGAGCCATATTCAAAGGATAGAAGCATCTCCTGCACAGCCCTTCCATATGCTGCATCACAGGGAAATTTCACTTGTTTCCATGTTATCCACTATGAATAAGTCAAGCCCATCAAAGTTAAGGCTTATCTGTAGCTTGACTTGATGTATAATAAGGCTGCTGTCTGTCTGCATGCAGATAATCCACATCCAGTTACGGGTCAGTCACAGGATAATACATGGTTCTGGTACACAGATACAGATCTGCTCCACCTCTTCCTAAATGATCTGCAGGGCTCAATGTCAGCAAGGTGAGGTATCCATTTGTGCAGACACTTAAAAGACATGACAGAAGTTTACAGATAAAGTGAAAAATGGAAAGTGCAGACAACGAATGAAAAATCTGAAAGCACCTGGAAAATAAAACCTTTCCAATTTAATATGAATAAATATCCTCCAGTATAAAAATATGCCCTCACTTCACCAGATGGTAAGCAGTCCTATCTCTGTAGGCTCCTCCTGTTTCATAATCTGTATCTCAGAGAAAGCAATCCATCCTGGCCTTGGAAACCTGCTGTCCAGTACCAACGAGTGTACAGGCAGTGAGGTGTGTCGCAGTACAGCAGCTGTGCACTCACCCTTGCGTTCACAGTGCTGCCTTTTATAGACGTTCGATACCTATATCCCTAAATCCTAGTCCACTCCTGCTTTGGAAAAGTGAGGCCTTTATTTGGCATGTCTGAAAATGATTTTAGGATACTGTTTCAAGGTTTAAGGCTTTCACATCTGAAAATTTTGTCAAGACCACTAAGGAATGTTCTACCTATTTACTGTAAGTCAAGCGTCCCTTAGAGGAGAATACAGAAACTCACATAACCAAAACACTCAGTTTTAAACAAAACTCATGCCTCTTATTCGACTTTCACAGCAAGTACAGAGCCGAATGTTTGCTTTCATCTTCAATCTCTTCCACACTTGGCGAGAGTCTGCAGCAAACTTGGTTTAGGAGCAGAATCCATTAATTACTCATGCTTAACCTGAGTTAATTTTAAGTAAACATATTATAAACAGTCAATCGAAATGTGTTCAGTCATGCTAATGGAGACAGGGATATGCACCACTTCATTAATACAGACAGTGCCTCTATACGGGCTGCAAATCCAATGCATTTTAAATTAAGGACAAATTCTCCTCTCACCTTTCTACCAGCACTGCTGCAAACGCTGCACCAGCAGCTGACAACTACCCCACACTCCAGGGGTGCACATTGTTGGGGAATTCTCCAGGGAAGGGGGACGGGTCAGGCACCCAGTACCAGGTTGCAGAACTTTTCACTTCTAGGTTACGTGTTCAAATCAGAACCAGTTCAGCAGGGACTAAAAAAAGTCATAATTTGCTGCAGACCTGAATGAATGACTCCCTGCAGAGCAGGTTCACATGCCTCCTTTCTGTCTATAACAGGTCTGGATCTCATTACTGACATGGACAGGTGCCAGCAACGTGCACCCTGCGTAGTCACACCCTGTGCCCTACAACCCTTCCAGCCATCTGCCCTGGGCTGCTCCCCTGGTCCCTTTGCACTGGAAGCAAGGAGCACTCGGTGCCTGCTGCAGGCCAGGCTGTCTCAACCCAGCGCAGCGTCAGCGGCTGCCACGAGGCTCAGGGAACAGAAGACACTGCTTAGGAACTGCTCTCTTAAACACTGTGAGACAGTCTGTAATGTCTTACAGAAGTGAGGACAGCATTTTTCCTGGCTTCTCTCAACAAGCTCAAACATCTCAGCAGTCTGTGCTGAGGCCTGCGCCTGTGTTTGTGCAGGTGGTACGAAGCTGCGTGTGCATGAGCACAGCACTGTGCACAAACCTGTGCTTTCAGCACATGCCTGTGAATATCCCCCAGCATGGCAGCTCTGCCTTTTACTGGCCCAGTCCAACCCTGCAAGATGGAAGGACAAGTTCTTCCTTTCCACTCATGCAAGCAGGCCAATGGCAGTCAGGCAGTATTAATGAATCTGGAGAATACAGGAAGAGCTACCCTGAAATGCTCCTGTGCCACACAGAGCAGACATGCCCAGAGCATCCCTCTGCCCAGGACATGGCCTGCCAACTGTGCAGGCACCAGGGCATGGGACTGAAGAAACAGCCTCAACTTACGTGTGTCAACAGTCTCTTGAATGGGGATGAAGCCCACAGGTAAGGTGTCCTTGATGTCAATGAGCTTCATGTCAACCAAGACGTTTCCTAAGTGACTCTGAAGAGAGAAAAGAAACAGTTCATCAGGTAACCTTAGTGCTCTCACTGCTTCTAAAAGAGCAACACAACACTTCTGTGACAACAATGGCAGAAGGCATTACAAGAAGATGGTTCACGCAGACACAGCCAAAGTTATTACATGCATTAGCTAATTAGTACTGAATAAAGACAGTTCTAGCTCCAAACAAAGCTGTGCTCCAGAAAAGCAGGCCATCTGGAACAAAGAACTTCAGTTGAGTCCATATCAATTCTGAACTGATGCCCTGTCCTATTAATCAAGGCTTGAAGAGCTAAAAACACAATTCAGAATGACAACCTCCACAATTGAGACCAGATTTTCTTTGCAGTTCTCATTAAAGCCAACACTGCTGCCAGCAATCTACACTCACGTATGTAAGAAAAAACCTCTACACTTTAGTTAGTATGCAGCCTTTATAAACATGAAGACAGAAGAAAATAAAATTTCATCCTAAGCCACCTTCCGCACCTTCTGTTCCCCAGGAGGGAATCCCTGCAGGTGTGAGCAGGCTGACCACCCTCGGGAATCGGGCCTCCAAAGACAGGAGCTCCTCGCCAGCCATCAGGCGTGGGAGCACGGCTCAGTGCAGCAGCTGCCCAGCGGTGCCCCAGCAGGCTGCCTCTCAGCCCCAGCGCAGTGCTGTGCTGCTCCTCGCACCTCCGTCTGCTGCACAGCTGAGACCCCCGCAGCCCTCCTGCTACATTTGCTTTAATTCATTCCTCATAAATATGAGGAATGTATTCCCAAACCATGCTGAGCAGATGAATCATGCCAAAGCCCAACAGACACTGACTGAGGGGATTTACACTGCCTCCGATAGCCAGTAGTTGCTACTATCCTGTAATTATTTCTGACAACCTTGCATTTAAGGTAGCCACAGATAAACTTAATACCAAATAATCACAAATCTTTTGGTTTAGTATCCTCCCTATCTATTCAGGGCTATCATTCTTGCTACTGCAGCTACTCAAGGATGTATTGCACAATTATTGTCTGTTGACCCCAGGAAGCATAGCTTTAGAGCTTTATTTTAATCTGGAGGACAGAAGGAAAGTGGATGGAATAAAGGTCAAAAGCTGGGAATTGACAGACCCTTGGTTTTCATTTCAAGATCTGTGATCAACCTCCAAAGTCACAGTTGCTTTTCTGTTGTTGGGAAAGGCTCAAGTACAAAATGATACCACTACACCCTTGAGAATCCAGTCCCTGAGAATATCTAAAACACCAAGAAAAGCAGAATTACCCACTAGATGGAGCGCATTCATTGTCGAACTGAACAGTTCCTCCTGGAAAAGAGAAAGTTTTCACACTACCCTCAGCTGAAAAATTAAGTGAAGACAGCAGAAGGCATCAGGCTCTCACTGCATATGGCCTCCTCCCTTCCACAGGAGATGTGAGCACACAGCTGCCACCAATCAACAATAAGCCGTGTTTCACAGCCGCACTGGAAGATTACAAGTATAGGGCAGTGTATGCACAGTGTGGGCAAATTGTTAAGAATTGGCACAAGAAAAAAAAGGAAGAAAACTTGTATGGTGCCCCTGGATTCAGCAACTAGCGTTTACTTTGTTGCTATCACATAATTCTCCAAGTGATCAGAGCTAGAGGTTCACCATCTGAACCATCATCAGGGGAAATTCTTTACAGAGCGAGTGGTGAGGTGCTGGACCAGCTGCCCAGAGAGGTTGTGGATGCCCTGTCCATCCCTGGATGGACGTTCAAGGCCAGGTTGGATGGGGCCCTGGGCAGCCTGAGCTGGTATTAAATGGGGAGGTTGGTGGCCCTGCGTGTGGCAGGGGGTTGAAGATTTGTGATCCTTGAGGTCCCTTCCAACCCTGGCCATTCTGTGATTCTGTGATCACCATTTGGAACATGCAGCTCCCATTTTAAGAAGAGAAAATGCTCGTGGAAGGGAGCTGCTGAAATGCAAACATGCACTTTTCTGCCGCCTTTATTACAGATTTTGCCAATGATTTCCTTCCCCAAAGAACACAGACAAAACACAAATATCTGGCCATTGCAGTTTGCCTTCTTGGTCACCCCAGTTCAGCTAAACACTCGCTTAAATTGTAATTGGCTCCACAGCCATAATCATTGTGTAAGAACACACCAGGCACAAATGCAAATCATGCAGACACTCAGCAAAAGGACTTACATTTTCTTTTGAAAATGACCTTGTGAAGCAAAGGTATCGTGTGACCTTGGATTTAAACAGGCCATCCTTCCAGAGGTCAGCATCCAGGCCATCTGCTGTTTGTGCAACCTGGAAAGAAAAAACAGAGGGATAGAGGAGATATGTAAGCCAAGATAACATTAATATGTGTGCAGTACTTCTTTCTCAGACCCTTTCTAATTAACGGTAGCCCAAACTCTCACAGCATCTCATTAGTTTCTTCAGAAGGTGCAGTGCAGAGAACTTCCAAGCAGAGGTATGATAAAGTTCTAAAAATGCTGTCTCTGGAGAGTGCAGTGATTAAAGATGCTCTGACAAAAGCTATTCTAATGAGGAAACAGCAACTCTGGTGCAGTCTCCAAACAATAGTTTGGACAAGTCAGCATACTGAGGCATTCACTACACTATACACACACTGTGCAAGCTGCAAGGAGGGGTCCATTCTGACAAAGCACTGGAGAGCTATCCGCAAAGTGGCAGCTCCAAGGCTGCCCACATCCATGGCCACTTCTGACAGGACGAAGCTGGAAGAACAGCACTCCTGAAAAATCGTTGTCTTTCCTTGTGATTTTACACAACTTCAACCAGATTAAAGCATCACATCAAATGAGTTGTGGAGCTGTGACAGCGATTGCATTCAGTACAATCAGTAGCAAACTGGAGGGTGAGGGAAACACCACAGGTTCTGCACGGAAGAGACAAATGCACAAGGAAGGCAGGCAGCAGCAGATGTCATTTGCGGTGGCTCGGGGCACGGCACAAGGGGCGCTGGGGCCAGAGCAGGGCTGTGCCAGCAGCTGGGGGCAGAAAGCCCTGCCCAGAGGGCACGCTTGCTAAGCAGAGGGGACAGCAAACAAGTCGTACACTCCCCTACCATCCCACCGACAGCTCCCACAAGGAGTCCAACAGGACAGTAAGCATGGCAGAACCGCCCAGTGCCTTTCAGGAAGGAACAAACTTCCCCTCTGCTGTTTCTTAAGCCATGATCACACCGACCTAAGTGAGACCTTGACCCCTGCGCAGCCTGATGACATAGAAGCTGGTATCTTTCGGTACTGTCTGCATCCATATTTTGTAGGGCAGAGGCTCTGTGTAGAGTGCAGGAGGCAAGGTGCATGCTAAGCCCCCCATTATCCAAAGAGGAGAGAAACGCATGTCTAACACAAAGGCAACAAAGTGCATGGGTTGCTCTTCACAATTTCACATTTCAGCATCTTCTGCTCACAAATCCCTGATGAGCTCATTCCTAGGAACAGGACATAGGAACAGCCCCCATTGCGGGCTGTGAGCCGCCACCAGTGCCTGCCCCGAGCAGCAGAGCCCAGCAGTGTCCCACACGGACACTAAAAAAAAGCCCTCAAAAAGAAACAGTAAAAAAACAGCAAAGCCACACCACAAACCCTTTTAGGGAAGCACCCTGCAATTCTAACTCCACAGTTACCACATGCAGCAGCTGAAGCCAGTTTACCAGCGAGTCATCAAGAGAAGCACGTGGCCCATCAGCCCCCACTTCCCTCCTGCATTGCCTCGATGCCCCATTGCCCCACACAGCCCAACTGCCTCCACAGAGCCGCAGAACTGTGAGCAGGAAACCAACACAGGGGGGTTCAGGTCTTACTGGCACCCAGTGCCCACGGGCAGGGCAAGCCAAGAGAAGCCTTCTTGTTTCTACTGAAATGCGGCAGTTGCAGGCACCATCTCCAGCAATTAATCCTGAATGCTGAGGCTTCGCATCATCCTGCTGAATCCTTTTTCTAAGCTTAGATGTAAGCATGCATTAACTTGTCAGAAAACTCATGGTGAAAAAAACCAGAGTAACATAAATGAGAAAGTTCTTGCATCATCTTCTGGGCACCAGCAGGTAGGGAGGATCCCCAGCGCCTTGGAGTGGAGCTGCACCCAAGCAGCACCGTGCATGAGGGCATGGCCGTGGGGGCTGCACTGAGGGGAAGGGACGAGGAAGGGCTGTGGCCCCAAGCAGCCCCAGCCGTGTCCTCCTACCCAGGGTGAACACGGGGGACAAGAGCAGATGCCTGGTAATGGGTGCCAGCACATCCACCTTGACCTTACCAAGGGGTCAGAGGCATGGGTCAGCTCAGCTGCTCTTCATGCCTTCCCACGCCAGAATGCACTGAAACCCAACAGGAGAGGATTCCCACTCACAGCTCTATAGACACCCAGAGAGGCAGCAGAAAAGCACAGTCTGCACTGCTTGCAGCCTGTGCCATGCTGCAAAGCTCCCCACTCACCCTTCCTGCCCAACTCTGCACTCAGCAGTGCCAGCTGGGGTGGATTTTCAGGAATCTGAGTTCAGACACACTCTGTATGTTTTGGCAAAATGCATTCTTTAGTGCTCCAGCTACTAAAAGATCTGGCCAAAGCACCAGCAGCTGTTTCCTAAGCAGACTGAAAGGGAAATGAGTTGTTTGGATAATTAAGAAAACTACTGAAAGAAAAAAAAACTAAAAGATGAAAAAATAAACCCAACCCTCAGATCTCCCCAGTCCCTGCCACCCCTGCCTGGGCAGGCAGCACCCCAGGGCCCGGCCGCAGCCCCAGGTACTGCGCTGCACAGGGCAGAAGGGAGGGAAGTAGCGCAGTAATGGCTGCGTGTTGTGGAAAGTGCACAGATGAAAGGAAAACTAGATAAAGCGTACATATAATGCATCTGGCTCAGAAAAAAAGAACTGGTTATTATGCCATCACAGAATTCAAACCCACCAACAAAACGACACAATGCCCAATTCATTACTGCTAAGAGGAAAAGCATTCCCACAGCTCTGAGCCCGCTGTTGGAACAGAGTGCTACAGAATGCTGCGGCAAGGGGCAAAGAGATGGCATCCCCCAGGGAGCTGCAAGACCTTCCCAAAGCTACCTGCGGTCAGGGCGTGCTTGGCTTCCTGCTTTAAGACACTACAGCCTGGGTTCTGGAGGTTGAAGGAAGTGCTGCCCTGAGTGCATCCACCCATGCTGGATAAGGCCACACAACCGCACGTACTGCATAGTGGGACACAGCTGTGATCTGTGCAGAGCTACCTGCTGCATGCACAGAACATGGGCAGAGCTGCTGCAGGCAGCAGACACCTCAGAGCCTACAGCAGAAGCTGTTGGCCCCAGGGTCAGAGGAGAGCTCCTTGTAAACACAAAGTGAGACAAAAATCAGAAGCAAGACAGACTCCTCCCCATGCCCCCTAGGAGAGAGCGACCCACATTCTCAAGCATTATTGCAACACCACTATAATCCCATTAAGCCTCAGGAAGAATCTTTTATCTTGTTTAGTTTAAACAGTGTTGGGGCTGCAGCCCCCATTAAACTCCACACATGCTATCTGGGGTAAGTGAGGTCTCTGCCTGGTCATTTAGGCAGAACGCTATTCTGTTACCATGTCTCTCACACTGCCCCATGCTCCTTTATCAGGACAAGCAGCTAATTACACAGCCTGGCTCACACAGGCAATCAGTGCTCAGAAAAATGCAGTAAATGCAAAAAAACTTCTGCCTTTCAGAAGCCTTTTCACAACTCCCCCCTCCTTACTGCAGCCCGACCCCATTTCCTTCCTTCTCACACAGCAGCACAGGGCACACTGCAACCCAGGGCTGTGAGGACGTGAGCTACACGAGCTGTGTGACACTGAAACCCAAGATGCAATGCAGCATAGCTGGAGCAGGACACACAGAAAGATGAGCTATAGGCCAAACCTTCCCTACACTGCTCTGCAAAGTCAGTACTTCGTGATGTTCTGCTGCCTAGGACACTCATCTATAGGCGAATAAAATCACCCTGTTGGTTATACAGCAACTAATCCAGGGAACAAGCAGCTGTTAAACAATGACCTCCATCTATCCATTCACATATTCATCTCCACTGGATCCAGCTGCCTTTTCCTGCTGCCCAGCCTCCTGCCAAAGCTTAATTTAGAGGTTTGCATTCTGTCCATCAAAATCGCCCTCACAATTTCAGCTGGTTGTGAAATTCTTTGCTTCCCGATCTGGAGCTTCTCATCATTATTATGCTGTGCTGATATGTGGGATTAAACAGCTGATGCGGGATCCATTTATTTGGAGATGTAATTTGTGCGATACTTAGGAATCCTTCAGGATGGCAGTTACTAGGATTATTAAATTTGCATGCCACAGCAGCCAGCTGTTTCTCAGAGCCTCTCCTCCAGGTAATTATGCTCTGGAGGAGAAGCACATACAAAGTTGCACAACTGCACCTACAGACCTCCATCCAGGGAAAGCACTGCTGAGCGCCCTGGGCTGCAAGGTGGGCATGCAGACACCAAATTACTTCTTACAATATGTCTGATGGCAAATCCTGGCTGGAAGAGATACTATTCCCAGCAGAGTAAAGCTTCATTAGTGCAGAACCAAAGAATTTGCAACAGCAGCTGAACTAGCTCTACTTACTACATCATAGCCTGTCGGCGCGCGGCTCCGGGACGCAACCACGCCAACCCCTGTGATGGGATCCATTGGCACATCAGGCAAGGCATCGGAGAGATCTCGCACTTCAGGCATTGTGGACTGATCCTGAAAGAAAGCAGCAGAGTTAAGGGGCTGCTTGAGAGCATGCACTCCCTAGAGTAACAGAGCACTGGAAGCCCACATGCGTGCCACAGCGCCTGTGCCCGAAAACCATGGGCTGCCAAATCAAACGCAGGATCAGGCAGACACACCTTCTGTGCTTTTGTTTGTTTTTGATAAGACGGCACGCTTGTGCAATGCCCAACTGGTTTGGAATTTGGGTCAGCAGCCACTTCTGAGATTAATTTTATCACTTCCAGGATATTTTGCATGGGCTGGTCTCCATCTAGCAACGATGGGAAAACCCAAGCTCATCCTTTCCCTCCCAAATAAGAACAAATTCCATCCTTGACTCAGGCTGGCTGAAGCTGCTCTACTATTTTAAGCAGCAAGAAATCCGCTCCCCATGGCTTCAGCATAAGGCTCCCACCCACGACAGGCACTGGGCACGATGAGGGCTCTTGCGAGGCTTCATCCCCACCACACCCCCTGAACTAAGCCATGGCCGCATAGCAGCACAAATGTGTCTGTATGCGAAATTGTGCCCGTGGCAGAGTGCCTGAGCGCCAGGGAACACAGACGAAGCAGCACAGGATGGTCCGATGCAAAGCAGACAGAGGCCTTCAAGGAGCCCGAGCATCTCCCATGAGCAAGGCAGAACAGCACCGAATACTTCAGGGTAGAGGACGACACAAAGAGGGAGAGAAGCAGGTGAAACCAACCCATTTGGAGAAATGCTGTTGCTGGAAGCAGGAGGAGAGGAGAGGAGAGCTGTCCAAAGAGCTCATGGGAGAGGAGAGGTGCCTCTGCCTTGGCACATCCTCCTGCAGCGGCAGCAGGGCAGGGCCCTTGGCTTGGGCAGGACTGCCCCAGACCCCCCAGCACTGCAGATCCAACAGCAGCACCTGGCACAAGCGCTGCTGTAGGCGGGCAGGCAGACAAACTGCAGGCAGGGTCTCCTCAGGAGGACCAAGCCCAGCACTAAGGCTGCAGAGATGGCAGGTTACTTACTGCTTCTAAAAAGGCAGAGGTGAGTGCTGGTGCCAGCAGGACCAGGGTTACACTTCACAATGCCCAGTCTGAACCAACACGGTGCTGCAGGCAACAAAAAAGAGCAAATCTGGGGCCTATGTAAATAACAACGCCACACAAACAACCAGACCAGACTGCCTAAAGTCTACAAAGCAGCGGGAGCAAGCATGTGGTAAAAAGACCACCACCAACAGAGCTCTACCCCAGCACCTGGGTGAGCACCCAGCACACGCACCAACACACATTCGGTCAGGGCCCACACGAAGCCTCCTGCTGGTGGTGCCACCAGCCAGCATGGCACCCTGCAGGATGGCACCCGGCTGACCCCAGCTGTGCGGCACGGCGGGGCAGCTCTCACCCGCGGGGCACTGGGATGCAGCTGGAGCTGGCGCAGAGCAGCAGGAACCGGCCTGCGTGCTTGGTAAATGTTTTTCTGAACTCGGAACAGGTCAGAGCAGAGCTTTGGGCTGATGCAGACCATGAGTTACATTTCAGCTCCCCCTCGGGCGCCTGCAAAGTTTAGTTTCTTTCCTATCACACCTTTGAACTTAAAAATAAAAAACAAACAGTGAAAAAGCAGATTAAATTAAGGAACAAGATTCTATAAATACATCCATTAGATTGCTTGTTGTTTTAGGGAAGCTCTTTTCAAACACCACAGCGCTGACCTGCCTGCAGTGTGGCAGTGCCTGAGGACTCAGCTGACAACCAAGGACGGCCCAGTGCTCCCCAGAGCCCCACCACCCCCCTGCAGGGTAAATCTGGGCACAGCCCCAAAAACAAGCACAGCATTTTTTGCACTGCTCAAAGCACATTCCCTGGAGGCTGTTCCCAGCAGCAGGGCACTTCCTGCTCCCAGCCTGGGGAAGCCGGACGCAGTCCTGGGCAGGAAGAGGCCCTGCTCAGGCCCACTCACCGAGTGCAGTACTGGCCCGGGGCACAGAGAGATTCCCACTCTGAAGCGGCCTCAGGAACATCAGAAGCTGACCTTCCTGAAAAGCAGCAAAACCACCCCCAGCCCCTCAGCAGCAAAGCTTCAACCACGGCTCCAAGGGCAGCCCACATCAGGCAGGCTCCACATGGGTCAGTCACCCCAGCTCCCTGCATTCTGTGTGCAAGGACGCTCCACTCCACACAGAACAGCCACAGAACAAAGACTGCAGCACGCACCAGTGGCGGCTTCCTGCCCAGCCCCACAGACACAGGCTGGAAGCTGTGACTTGCAGACACAGCACCATGTCATATAAGAAGTCCCCAGCACAGTGCTCAGAGCCAGGTTTCACTGTGCCGCAGCCCCTGAGCTCTCCCTTTATATCTCTTTGTGCTCTCTCTCAACTGTTTCCTTGCTTGCTCATCTCTGATGATCCCAGGCACACTTTCCTGCTGGCCTCACTATGTGCTTGGAGTGGAGCACTGTGCCCTGGTGACACAGCCGCCTGCACTGCTGCGTCACGGTGGGGACACACACACAGCAGTGCAGCTCCAGAAATCCACACATTACACTGAGCTCACAGAGTGCTCTCCTTCTCCGTGCTCTTTTTCAAGAAGCAAGACCAAGAGTGGGTGGCAGATGAGTAGCCAGTGCCTGATATATGTGCTGTAGAAGCCTCACAATGCAGCGAGCCAGGCCAGATTCTGAGGCTAAATGGAGTTGGGAGAAAGAAGAGCATCATTGTTCTCGCAACTGTAAGCCCTGTGCTTTGGCACCAACCTGCTCGTCCTACAGAGAAGAACATCACAGAATGGAGACCTTAAAGATCATCTAGTTCCAACTCTCCTGCCATGGGCAGGGTTGCCAACCATTAGATCAGACTGCACAGGATCCTATCCACCTTGGCCTCGAATGCTCCCAGAGGTGGAGCATCTATTCTGAGCAAACTGCTCCAGAAGCTCACTGAATAAAAACATTCTTTCCTAACATCTAACCTAAACCTATCTTATTTTAAGATTTCAAGGCCATCTCCCTTGTCCTATCACGATCAGACTGGAAAAAGTTGGTGAGATTGCAATGAAGTCTCCCTGGAGCCTTCCCTTCTCAAAGCTAAACAAGCCCAACTTCCTCAACCCATCATCATAGGAGAGGTACTCCAGCCCTCTGATCGTCTCTGTGGCTCTCCTTTGGACTCACTTCAACAGCTCTGCATCCCTCCTGAACGGAGGGTCACAGGCCTGGACGCAGTGCTCCAGATGGGGCCTCACAAGGGCAGAGCAGAGGGGGACAATCACCTCCTTTACTCAATTGCCACCCCTCTGCTGATGCAGCTCAGGATACTGCTGGCCTTCTGGGCTGCACACACACACTGCTGGCTCATGTCAGCTTTTAATCCTCCAGAACCGCAACTCCTCCTCCACAGGGCTGCTCTCGAGGAGTTTTTCTCTCAGTCAGTACTCATATCTGGGATTGCCCTGACTCAAGTGCAACACCTTGCACTTGGCCTGTCCCTCTGGATGGCATCCCTCCCCTCTATTGTGTCAACTGCACAAGTCAGCTTGCTGCCATCAGCTTGGAGCCAGCTTGCATGGGCTAAGGCAAAACTGGAACAAACAAGCACCAACTACCTCAGTATGTTCCTGTACTGCACAGGAGACAGTCCCAGCAAATCAGAGCAGGTGCTGCTGGAAACTCATCCACACAGGTTGGTTCTGCTCCATCACTCTGATCTCAAGGCACAGCATGGCTGTTTGCACACACTACTGACATTTGGGTCAAAAAAAGTAGGAGCCAATGGCAGAACACATGACTAGGAACCTGGACACACATTAGTCACAAGCAGACACAGATTCAGGGTCATCTTTCACCCAAACAAAGGTTCATCAAGAGTCACCTGCAACTCCCATTCTCCACACAGCTGTCCCTGCACCAGCTGCTAGAGCCCCATTAGCTGTGATGGACCTGAATGGAACAGAAGTCTGGGACGGAGCAAAACGGAGCTCTCGAGTTGCTGCGCAGCAGTTCTAACTGGGGACACCCATTTGTGAGGTATCCTGTTTCAACCCAAAATAGATTTCCACACACACAGATGACCTTCCCCAGGGTTCCAGTGACACTTGGGTCATTTATTTCCATCTCCGCACCTGGGGGCTGCAAGGCCTGAAGCCTGGGACTCACTCAGAGAAGCACATCATGAACCAGAACGTTCTGTATTTTTATCTTACACCTTCAAGAGCTCAAACCGAGGCTTCACCTCAGAACATCTCAAGGCTAAGGCCGCCTCAGCCAGGAGCTGCAGGAACATCGAAGCACAAAGAGGGGCACAGCAATGCCTGATAAACACAGGATGGAGGTACGCGGCTGTCGGCCCCAGCAGCGAACATCTCGTAGGACCCTACGCTATCATAACCCAGCTGTGACTGTCCCAGCTCGGAGGATGCACGGGAGGGGGTGAAGCTCAGAGGGTCCCTGTGACCCTTCCTGGGCACTACAGAGAGACGCTGAGTGCTGGGAATGCGGGAGGGGAGCAAACGGAGCGTGGGCAACTCAGCACCCCGTCCCGGCTGGGATGGCAAAGAGACACCGCGCCGATCACCTCCAGCTGTGCAGAAACCTCTGCGAACAGGTGAAAAAAAACAATAACGGTCAAACAAACCCGCGCCGTAAATGCTCGCACAAAAGACCACATAACGCAGCGCCGTTGCAATTCTCTTTAACCAGCCGAGAACAAAATTCGCAGCGAACTCCCCAACGCACCGGGGCCGGCGTCCCGCCCGCAGCCCCGCTCCGCGCAGCAGCAGCCCGGCTCGCGCCGAGCCTCGGAGCAGGCCGCGCCCGGCGCCCAGCAGCACGGCGGCGTCCCGCGGGCCCGGCCCCGCGCGGGGGGCGCCGCGGCCACGGTTCCGGCCTCCGCCCAGGGCCGCGCCTCTCCGGGGGCCGCGGGCGGCTCCGCTCCCCCGTGCCCCGGCCCGGCCTCGCGCGGAGCCGCGAGCGCTCAGCAGGCCCAGCCCTTCCTCCCGCCTATCCTTCCCTCCCGGAGCGCGGCGGAGCGGGGTCGGCCGAGGGCGGCGGCGGGGCCGGGGACACTTAACTGTTCCCCGCGCGGCGGGCGGCGGCTCGCGGCTCCCTCGGCGCAGGCAGAAGCAGCTCCTCATCGCCCGGCGGGGCGGGGGCAGCGCGGCGGGAGGAGCGGCGGGGGCGGGGGAGCGGCCTAGCGCGGGGGGCGGCGAGCAGGGCCACACCGGCGGCCCGGGCCAGAGCCCGGGAGCAGCTCCTCCGCGCCTCGAAGCTCCGGCGCGCCCCGATCCGCGCCCCCGCGCCGCCTCCCGCCCCGGCCCCGCGCCGCCCCGCGCCAGCCGCCCGCACTCACCGCGGCCGTGCGGCGCTGCTCCCCCCGCGCCCGCGCGGAGCCGGACCGGCGCGCCGCTGAAACGACGGCCGCCCCACCCACGGGAACCCCGGATCGCGGAGGTCCGCTGCGGCCCACCCGAGGGCCGTGTCCCGTCGGTCCGGGAAGCCGGGAGTCCCGCGTTGCCAAAAAAATAAACTTTCTGAAGAGAACGATACGTCTGGCGACGTCCGCTTGGTAGGGGTCTCGGAATCGTTTCGCCCGTGTCCTCACCCCACCGCGAGATGCAGCCTTCGGGCTCCCGCGCGCTGCTGTCGCCGGGAGGAGCGAGGCCGAGGTGCGCGGTGCCCTCGAGCATCACCGGGCCGATGGCAGCAGAGCGGTCGCGCCCCCGGGGTCGAACGGCTCCGGTCTGACCCGACCTCGGCCATCCGCCTGGCGCCCGCCGCAGCCCGCAACCAAACGGGGCACGCAACCCTGCAGCACGGAGGCATCCTGACATGAGCTGCTGCGGAGCTCTGCTGGGCTCGATGTTGTCACGTTCCAGCGATAGCACTGAGAATGCACTGAGTCTGCGGCTGATGCAAACCGCGGCACGGCTTACACTGACAGCCATAGGGTAATGCCACAGCTCTCCTGCACCCAGCTCTGGGCACCGTTCTTGCAGGGGGTAATAACCCACAGAGTAGAACGCTGGTGTAAGGCCAACATCAACAGCCTTTAATGCAGCACTGAAAAAACTAAGGGAAAGAAATAATGAAACAAAAATAAGCAGAGCTGAGAAGCAAAGTGCAGTACAGAGGAAAGCATTAAGCTGGAGGAGAATGAAAGAAGAGGGCAGCAACCAGTTCTTGTCCTCAGTCTGGTCTGGGAGCAGTGGGTACAATGCGCAGTAAGAAAGGTTCTGTGAAGGTGTGGTGAGAACCTTTATAACAAGGCAGGCAGCAATGCCCAGGGCTGTGCTGTTTACCCCAGAACATGGCACTCCTGCTCCAGCACAGCTGGGCCCCATGGCCTTCCCTCACTGTGCAGCTGAGTACTCCTCAATACAGTGTGTACAGCCCTGGTGGTAGCGGTTTCTGGATTCAAAGATTAAAATAAAATAGAGAGATATAAGGAATACATCTTTTTTGAGGGGATTTTTTTATTATTATTTTTTATTTGGAGAATAATTTAGAGAGAAGGAAAGATGATGCCTGGTGGAAATGAGAAATATATGTCCCATACATAATATATGCCCCAGAAGTCCCATTACAAATACAACAAGATTTCCTGAACTGGAGAAGTTGCTACCCATTATAGTGCACTAATGACCCTCCATGGAGACACCGATACTGAGAGAGTCTTTAGCGTAATAATATTAAAAATCCTACAGTTTCAATAAGATCCTCCCTGCTTCCATGACAGTGTGAAATGAATCGATTTCAAAGGAAGACTCTAATTGCTGCTTAGCATCCACAAAACATTCCACCATACACTGCAAACATACACCCCTGTGTGTCTGGCATGAGCTGTGGTGACACATCGCTCCCTGCACAGCTCAGCTGCTGCTGCTGCTCTCCCCCTGGAGGAGCTGCCCGGTGCCGGCACTGCTCGGGGCACGCGGAGCTGCTGCATGCAGGGCTGAGATGGAAGCAGTGCTGCCCCTTCACAGAGCACGAGCACAGGCTCTGAATCAGCACATATTTGTTCCCATAGCATTAAGTACGTGACTAACCATACTGCAGTTGGTCCATCTACCATATAAAGTTCCTCAAAAGCATAACTATTTGCAAGTACAATGTTATCCCCTGAATACTTCGCATATATTTCTTTTCCAAGGGTACATTTGTTTTTTATTCAGACAGTGCCTTTTCTCACAAGTTCCCCTGACACCTGCACTGTCCGCATCACACTGGGCTCCGGCTCCCAGGATGGCTTTCTGAAAGGAGCAGAAATATCCTGGTATCTCCTGTGGAGGTTTCAGTCTAGGCATGGGAACAGCACAGCTGCTAGCACAGGTCCCAGGCAAAGACTGGACAGATTGGAGTGTGCAGAAGGAGGGATGTGCATGGCTGAGTGCACCCCAGAGGGCTCCAGGTTCTCTTTCTCCAGAAGCTGAGGCAGTTCCCACATATTTCCATCCTAAGGGAAGCACGGGCCTGGGCACTGCACTGCAGATCAGCAGCTAAATACCATTTCTTAAAAGCGTCTGAGCTACAGCAAAGCAGCACTGCGGACAGGCTCTCGAGTTGCTGCAGGCTGTGGGGCACCACCTGCTGCCTCCCGGAATGTGCGTGGGTTGCTCTTCAATGGGGAGATCCCAGAGCACTTCAGGTAGTGACACGATCCTGAACAGCAGTGATATTTTGGGAGTCAAAACCTCCAGACCGCCCACCAGGTCCCACAGCACTTTTTGCATCTCATTTTACTGCAAGTTTGATCTTCCTGTGAGAGCCTGGGCAGAGCACACAGCGCTGTCTGTGCAGCACCACGCAGCTGCGCTCAGCCCACTACTTATATGTTATGGATCATAATATTTAAGTGGCCCTGCTATAATCCTGTAACTGGCTTTCCTTGACAAAATGAGCTCTGCTCAGCACACACTAACAGCTGTCTGTAAAACACATTTATGAATTGTCCATGAATTTCCCAACAGCACAACTGTGGTGCTGCTCCCTGAGGCCTGGCACTGGGCACTGTGGGGACAGGGACCAGAGCCATCCCCTCTGCTGGGGAGCACACAGCGGGGCAGACCAGGTCAGTGGTGTCTTACCTTGAACACATGGCACCTCCTGCATGCTGCTGAGTGGGAGGACAGGTCTATAGGGTCCCAAGGTGAGAGCAGTGATAGGTGGGAAAGGCAAAGGAATGTGCTATGCCCTCCAGCTGGAAACTGCCTACAGCCATGAGCAACATTAACCTTCACTGAACAAATCAAGGGCAGAACACAAAGACAAAGGTGATAATGCTGCACTGAGCTGCCTGCCTGCTGCTGCCCACTTACCAGGGCTCTTTGGGCTGGATCACAGTGGGGGCAGCCAGCCCTGCTCTCCACCAGCCCCAGCAGCAACACAGAGGCTGTCCCTGCCCGCCTGGCCAGAGCCCCACAGCCTCACACTGGGTGCTGCCAGGTCCCTGCAGCATAGCAGTGAGCAGCTCAAAGTCATCCTGCACATTTGTGCTGGTTTTGCAATTCCCCGGGCAAAGCTGCAGTTCATGCAGGAGCCTGAACACAAAAGGAAACACTGCGTTTAGTGTTATCAGTTCCTCACTTAGCCCCAGGTCAGCAAAGTGCTAAAATGTATGTACCATTTCAAGCACATGCTTAAACAGTTCACTGAACTAAAGGAAAGGCTGTGAGGTCAGCTACTCCATGCAGCCCCGCAGGGACAGCAATTTTGCTCAGTGCAGCAGCACAGCCCACACAGGCTGACACAGTGCTGCAAAGCCCTTGGGGTGCTGGTCCAGGGCTGGGGCAGCGCCTGCACCCAAGGTCGGACTCAGAGCTGCACAGCTGGCCTGTGTGTTGTAGCTTCCATGGAAAAAATAGGAGGCATTACTTCCAGAACAACCTACATACTGCAGCCCAGTTCAGTTATGGCATAAGGAACACCAGCATACAGCAATGCTACCGATGACAGCTGTGACTCACAGAGCACCAACAGACAGCCACAGTCAAATGTGCTCGTGCTACAGAACAGGTGGAGGCATTCCTCACAGGAAGCGGCAGCACAGGGCTCCGTCAGCTCCCCCTGACAACAGCTCCCCCTTTGAGCCAGGCTCAAAGCATCACAAGGTGGAAGGGAGCAGCTGGCCCAAGGTGCTGCCACTGCAGCAGCTCTGCACTGGAGTGGGGTCATCCATGCCCTACCAGGAGCAGCCCTGTCTGTTCTGCAAGACAGCTTGGAGCTGAACTGTAGCTGCCCTTCTACCCAAACAGAGGGCAGAAAAAGCACATGCTTAATTACCCAGGGCTGCGCATACGCAGGGTCTCCGATTATGAGTAATAGCTACAGTAAGACAGAGACTTTTGCTTGAATGATTTTGAATGATGAACACATTTGGGGAAATAACGTTTTCTCTGCAAACCCTGTGGTGAAGTGTTGGTGCTCACCTCACTTTTCTGCTGAGGATGGGCACCGTGGGGCTCCCCGTGCAGCACACACTGCCCTGTCCTCCATCTGCTGTCAGGCACTGCTGCACACTGCCCAGGGCTCACCCGCGCAGGCCGAGGTGCCCCACGTGCAGTGTGCTGCTGCCTGTTCTCCCTGGGAAGCTGTGCAGCACAGTTGATGGCAGTTACGGATGTAGCACTGCTGCCCCAGGAACACACTGCCAGGCAGCAGCACACAGGTGACCTGGTGTTTGCACAGAGGAATGCTGTCAATCATTCATGCAGCGACCATTTGACAGCGCTGGCATTGCTCACAGTCCAGCTGGCTCTGTGAAGCATTCCCTAGGTGCAGCT